GGTGATTTTGTTGGTTGTACACATTCTAACTCCAGTGCTTTGTCTGTCCGTGAGCAATCTCGGTTTCACACACTCGGCTATCAGTGTGCCTCACAAGCTCCAGCCACTACAAGAGGAAAATATGCAGCTGCTTGCCATATTTTACCAGGATGACACGCTCTGCCACGTTGACTTCCTCTGTGTTCTGTTTGTGCCATGCGTGCCCTCGAGGGAAGGGCACACATGGGGAAGCCCTGTCAGGGGTGTGTCTCACTGTGTTCTCTGTGCTTCACTGCAGTTCACGTAAACAAACGGGATATCATCTTCCTTTTGGATGGATCCGACAACGTTGGAAAAAACAATTTTCCTTACGTGCGTGACTTTGTAACCAACCTAGTTAACAGCCTCGATGTTGGAAGTGACAATATCCGTGTCGGCTTAGTGCAATTTAGTGACACTCCCGTCACAGAGTTCTCTCTAGACACTTACCAGACCAAGTCAGAGATGCTTGCTCACCTGAGGCGCTTGCAGCTCAAGGGGGGCTCGGGCCTGAACACAGGCTCTGCCTTGAGCTATGTCCATGCCAATCACTTCACGGAGGCAGGCGGCAGCAGGATCCAGGAACGTGTGCCTCAGCTGCTGCTCCTGCTTCTGGCGGGCCCTTCTGACGATGCCTATTTGCAAGCTGCCAATGCCCTGGTGCGCGAGGGCGTGCTGACCTTCTGTGTGGGGGCCAGCCGGGCGGATAAGGCTGAGCTAGAGCACATTGCTTTTAATCCGAGCCTGGTGTATCTCATGGGCGATTTCAGCTCCCTTCCAGATTTGCCTCAACAGCTGATCCAGCCCCTAACCACATATATTAGCGGAGGTGTGCAGGAAGTTCCACTAACCCAGCCAGGTAAACCTCCCGCCAGTGTGGGCCCCTCCCCCTCCTCAGATGTCCTCCCGGCAGCAGTGACCAATGCCTGTGACATGGGGAAGGATGGCAAGTGGGTTCACTTTGGTTGGACCAGTTGAAGACACTGCTGTAGAAAACTTAGACTCTAAGTGTAGAGCACTCAGCTGTGCCCTGTTCATGCTGTCTCGGATTTATTTGGAAGTTGAACAAAGCGAACATTCTAGGTCAATGGTTCTCAGTCTTCCTAATGCTGTAACCCTTTAATGTAGTTCCTCATGTTGGGTGACCCCTCCCAGCCACAAAGTTACCTCGTTGCTACTTCATAAGTGTAATTTTGCTTCTGTTATGGATCATAATGTAAAGATCTGATATGCAGGGTGGTCTTAGGTGACCCAGCAAGTGGGTTGTGACCCACAGATTGAGAATCACTGTTCTAGAGTGAAAATCCACGAGAAAGGTGAGAAGGAAGGAGACAGAGAAAGAGGGGTTGATTGGTTGACTCTATTACATGAAAATGCCTTGGCAGCCTTTAAAATTCGAATCCTTCCTTTAGGTGACATTCTACATTCAGACTCTGCCATGTGCCAAAAGCTATCTGTGCATTTTTATGCAACAGTGAGTTCATGTTACTGTTACTGTGACAGATCAGTACGGCCCTCAGTGATGCACACAAGACCCCACCAATTTTCCTTCTTTGTCACCCAGATGGGTAGCAAGCCTGAACCTATGGCTGCATCACTGAAGTCTCTCTCTGAACAGTTGAAGATGATATTTACATGGTGTGGTACAGCCCTCTTTTGGCTGTCACTCACGTTTTCTGTGGTTCAGTTTTGGTAGATTGGAAATGTTATTAGAGATTTGACACCTTCCTCCCCCAAAAGCATTGACAGTATTTTGGGTCTTAACTCTTGACCATAAGGTTACGGAAAACATGATTGAGTTTGAGCAGATCCCTGTCAACCCAGGTGTCCATGGAAAGTTAGTCTGTAACCAGTCTATGTCACAGGAGATGGAGGTTAGTTTTCAGCAGAAATATAGAACAAAACACAGTTTTGATAGTTCCCTTTGTGACAACGTGAAAACACCGGCTGTTCTCAGTGGTCTAACCTGCTGCAAGAACAGGACAGGCAGGCTTTCCAACAGCTTGCTTTGTCAAGAATGTCTGCTTTTAGAATGGCCAGCCCAGGGCTGTTCCTTTGCAAATTTGTGCTGCTCTGGAACAGCAGAGGCCACGGCAGGGTCTTCATCCTCCTCCCAAGTGATGCCAGATGAATCTGGTGAACCCCCACACCATGTGTCAGGGTCTCTTCACTTACTGTGTCCATCTGCTTTCCTTGTAGAGGGCAAGCGGGACATTCTTTTCCTCTTTGATGGCTCAGCCAATGTCGTGGGCCAGTTCCCTACCATCAGAGACTTTCTCTACAAGATCATTGAGGAACTTGATGTGAAGCCAGAGGGGACCCGAGTAGCGATAGCTCAGTTCAGTGATGACGTCAAGGTGGAGTCACGCTTCAATGACCACCAGAGTAAGGCTGAAATCCTGAATCTCCTGAAAAGGATGAAGTTAAAGACGGGCAAATCTCTCAACCTGGGCTATGCTCTAGACTACGCACTGAGAAATATCTTTGTGAGGTCCGCCGGCAGCCGCATCGAGGAGAGCGTGCAGCAGTTTCTGGTCCTGCTAGTGGCTGGTCGGTCGACAGATGCTGTGGCAGGGCCAGCAAACTCCCTGAAGCAGAGAGGAGTGATACCATTCATCTTTCAAGCCAAGAACGCTAATCCTGATGAGTTGGAGCTGATTGTGCCATCCCCTGCGTTCATCCTGGTGGCAGAGTCGCTTCCTAAGATTGGGGACCTCCAGCCACAGATTGTGAGCCTTCTGAAAGCAGCACAGAGTGCAGGGCCTGTATCAGGTATGGTGCATCCATGTAACCCCGCCCCCTGAGGCCCAGTCCCTAGCTTCAAAATGTTAGCAGAGGCTGTTGGATCCAGGTTCTCAGATGAAGTCCTCCCAGGGTTTACAGAAGACATAGAAATTACAGGCCATTTCCGGGGGGAACAAAAGAATAGGAGTATTCTCTCATTTTCTAGCTGTGCCTTGGAAGGATATGGGCGAATGCTTTTTAAAGGCACTAGAATATTTCATAATAAGATGTATTATAGAGGTTTAGATAACAATAGTTATAGCTAAAACAGCCTTCATCTTGACATCAAGTGTCAAGTGACATGCTTTAAGTGAATATCATTGATGTAAGTCTTTTAATTACATTTGTCAAAAAGTAAAGACAAATTAGAGAAGGCAGACAAATTCAATTCCACCATGGAGGAGGCATTAAAATTTCTGACTGAATGCATAGTCCCTTAAGTTGGTATTTAACTATGCTTCATTTGGTCATAAAATATATCCCATGATATATATGTATATTATAGGAGAAATGGGTTATTTCCCAGCTAGAAGGCAGCCTGCCCTGTTGATAGAATGAACACACACACACACAGACACACACACACACACACACACACACACACACACTATGTCTATACACACACCACTGTATAAGTGCCGAGCACTAACAACCGATTGCGCCACTGGAGCATGCATGTCTATACACATACTGATCATATGTCCCTTGTGATTGAGACCTGAGACTCGGGCTCTTTTCTGATGCAGGGACTCTCTCACACTCATTCCTTCCGCAGATTCTCTTGTGCTTTGCAGTGAGCACTTGAAGTCTTCACAACTGCAAAATGCTTGGCCCTGCTGGCTCAACTATTTCCTGTTCCCAGCTACTTCCTTGAGTTTATCTTTCAAGGTTAAGAGTTATTGATTGATTACGACAGGGTCTCATACATAACCTTAGCTGGCCTGGAACTTGCTATGCAGATCAGGTTAGCCTCAAATTCACAGAGATCCTCCTGTCTCTATCTCTTAAGCCCTGACATAAAGGTCACCACACCCGACCTTGCAATTCTGTTTGCAGTTAAGAAAGTTAAAGCAAGGAGCCTTTTCTATGGGCACATTCATCGTCCACTGTTGCCTCAGAGCTTTCCCACACACATCATGGCTTACAACAGAAGGAATTCCTTCCTGACCATCCCTCCTCCCTGAGCTAAAGTCAAGGTGTTGTCGGGGAAGGCTGCCTTCTAGCTGGAGGGCCTGGGAGAGGACCCATTTCTCTCCTTTTTCCAGATTCCAGAAATCCTTCAAATTCTCTGGCTCATGACCCCTTCTCCATCCTGTAGATGTTCAGAATGGTACCCACCCTAGTCCCCTCCGCCCTCCTGTAATGACCTTGTGCCTGTTTGGGGAGTACACCTCTTCATCTCTAACTTGTCACTTAATCACCTTCTCAAAGTCTTCTTCACAGAAAGAAGGATTTGGGAGTGTACCTTCCTGGGGGTCTGTTATGTCACCCAACATGGTGGTCTATAGTGTCCAGTCCTGTGTGAGTCACTAGGTGTTTTCCTCCAATTTCAGGTGAAAAGGATGTGGTGTTTCTGATTGACGGCTCCGAGGGTGTCCGGAGTGGCTTCCCCCTGCTAAAGGAGTTTGTGCAGAGGGTAGTGGAGAGCCTGGACATAGGTCCTGACCGGGTGCGTGTGGCCCTGGTACAGTACAGTGACCAGCCCAGGTCTGAATTCTACCTGAATTCCTACATGGACCAACAGGGTGTCATCAATGCCATCCGAAGGTTGACACTGCTGGGTGGCCGGATCCCCAACACAGGGGCGGCGCTGGACTTTGTGTTGAGGAATATCCTGACCAGTTCCACAGGGAGCAGGATAGCAGAAGGTGTTCCCCAGCTGTTGATTGTGCTCACAGCCGAAAGGTCAGGGGATGATGTGAGAGGCCCCTCGGTGGTCCTGAAGCAGGGAGGGGCAGTGCCCATTGGCATTGGCATCGGGAACGCTGACATCTCTGAGATGCAGACCATCTCCTTCATCCCGGACTTCGCTGTGGCCATCCCCACCTTCAGGGAGCTTGGGACGGTCCAACAGGTCGTCTCTGAGAGGGTGATCCAGCTCAATCGTGAAGAGCTGAGCACCTTGAAACCAGTGTTTCTGCCCTCGCCGAGTGCAGGTGAGGGGGTTGGGCTTGCTTTCTGTGAATTTCTCTTCCCTATAATCACCTTGGCTACTTGCTCGGACTGTGTGCTACAAAGCATCTTCAGTCTCGTCTCTGCTGCCACGGAGTGTAGAGCTGTATGAAAAACTAGGAGCCTTATTGTTATTATTATTATTTTTAAGGCATCAAATAGTGAAGCTAAGATTCATGTTTGTGGCCAAATTAAAGCATCAAAGAGGGCAAGTATATGATGTGGATCCAGCCTCTACAGAGGAGGTTGGGGGCGACCCTTGCTGAGTGTCTAGCCTAAGTGGCACCTGAAAGCAGTAGCCTTCTGCCATCAGGAGAAGCTCACTCTCTTGAGAGGGGTGGAGTCTATATTTTTATCTATAGCACCAATGGGTGAAATTTGCTTGGGGCTGAGAGGTGTCCCAACTGTGGAGAGGCCTTCCCGTTCTCTGTGCAATGACCCTGGACAAGGTCTGAGCCATGGCAGCTAAGATGGGAAGAAGCCAAGATGCCCTCATCCTCAGTCTATGTTGGCCCAGGGCCTGTGCTTCCTGGGCACTCAGGCAGGGTGGCTGTTCTCTGTGCAATGACCCTGGACAAGGTCTGAGCCATGGCAGCTAAGAAGGGAAGAAGATGCCCTCATCCTCTGTCTATGTTGGCCCAGGGCCTGTGCTTCCTGGGCACTCAGGCAGGGTGGCCACAGGGCAGAAGGAGGCAGATGTGGCCTTGTGTTTTCATGGTGTGGAGAGGGGGGAATGAGGGGCCAGGGAAGAAAGGGGGAGTAATGTGTGCAAAAGAAAGTCAGAGGCTGGATTTGCCTCCTGTGTGCCCTGAGGGGTCAGCTTCTCCTTGGGGTTCAGGTGAGAGCTATGTGCCCTGTGTTCTTACATGAAATGTTTGAAGATGTTCACACTCATGTACATTTGTGGAAAGCTCTCTCTCTCTCTCTCTCTCTCTCTCTCTCTCTCTCTCTCTCTCTCTGATACTAGAGTCCACACTCTGCTGGACACAGGAGTGTTAGGTTGTCCCTCGAGGCCCTAGGGCTCTTGTGAGTGAGAGTGCACACGTGAGTACATGTGTGTGTGTGTACAGAGTCCCTCTCTTATGAATCCAGACGTACGTTTCCACGCAGCTTGGCTCCTGCTTTATTCATTCTCCGCAATCAGAGTGACCCCTCCTCCACTCCCCCTCCCATCCTGCTTCCTCCACCCTTCTCTCCCCCATGCCTTACTCCCAGATTCAGACCTTGCGTCCCATTTCCTAGGGAAATTACAGAGAATTGGAAAGAGTGTTCAGAGGCTCTGCTTGGTCCTTCCCAGTGATTTCCCCACACGTCAGAGTGATCTTGATTTTCTAGGATGGCCCATCTCTGCTTCCCCTGCCCTTCTGTTTACACCTGCTCAGTGTACCCCCTTCCCGTCTCACTCACCCTGCTCCATCTCCACTGTACCAGACGATTCTTCTCGTGATAAATGTGTGTTACTCAGGCCAGCTCTCTCAGTGCCCCACTGCCCTCCCGCAGCTCCTCACCTTTGAAAGACTTACATATGCCCTGTGCAGGTCTCTCCTGCCCTCTCCTTCTCAGTACCATTGTATGGGGCCTGTGGACAGTTCTTGTCACAGTTGATGCCTCCTTCCCAAAGCACCACCCCCACCCTGGTGTTGGTACAGCTGTTTGGTTTCTGCTTCCGTTAGGCTCACCCTCCCAAGTCCCTTGCTGGTTTCTCTTTCACCGGACATTTAGATGTAAAAACATACAGGACTGGCTCTTTGGACGGGTGTTTCCACTATAGCGCCTGGTACTAGGATCTCTTGCCCATTGAACACAGATTTGATGACAGACTAGGGAGTGGCTCAGAGTGCTTGAAGTCTGGTGCCCCTGAAGCTGAAGGCCACGGTCCTGTCTGCTTTGCAGGTGCAGGCAGCAAGAAGGATGTAGTCTTTCTCATCGACGGGTCCCAAAACGCCAGCCCAGAGTTCCAGCACATCCGCACCCTGATTGAGAGGCTGGTTGAGTACCTGGACATAGGCTTTGACACCACCCGGGTAGCGGTCATCCAGTTCAGTGAGGACCCCAAGATGGAGTTTCCTCTGAATGCCCACTTCAGCAAGGACGAAGTGCAGAGTGCTGTCCGCCGGCTGAGGCCCAAGGGCGGGAGACAGATCTACATCGGAAATGCTCTAGAGTACGTGCTGAAGAACATCTTCCAGAGGCCGCTGGGGAGCCGCATAGAGGAGGGCGTCCCGCAGTTCCTGGTCCTGCTGTCATCAGGGAAGTCTGATGACGAGGTGGATGACTCAGCTGCGGAACTCAAGCAGTTTGGTGTGGCCCCAATCACCATAGCCAGGCACACAAACCAGGAAGAGCTGGTGAAGATCTCCCTGAGCCCCGAGTATGTGTTCTCGGTGAGCACCTTCAGGGAGCTCCCCAGATTGGAGCAGAAACTGCTGACGCCCATCACCACTCTGACCTCCCAGCAGATCCAGCAGATCCTGGCCAGTGCTCAGTATGCCCCTTCAGGTAAGACCCCTTCAGGAGCCAGGGCTGCTCTCCTAACATGACTTTCTAAAAATAAAGTTTTCACACCAGGAGATATTGCACCCTTTAACACAGTTCTTCATGTTGTGGTGACCCCACCCATAAAATTATTTCTGTGGCTGCTTCTTAACTGCAATTTTGCCACTATTATGAATCATAACGTAAATATTTGTGTTTTCTGATGGTCTTAGTTGACCCTTGTGAAAGAGTCATTTGACCACCAAAGGGGTTGGGACCCCCAGGTTGAGAAAAGCTGTCTGAGACAATTTAACTTCTAGTAGTTTCACGTTATATAGACCTGCCTGCATGATTTTATATATGTTTATAAAACCCAGAAACCACAAGTGAGAGAAAACATAATAATAATAATTTTTCTGAGACTAGCTTAATTCATTTTTTTTTATCGCTAGATGCATCTACTTTCCTGAAAACAATGTAACTTTGTTCTTTATGGCTGAAAAAAATTCCATTGTGTATGTAAACCACATTTTCTTGAGATTCCATTTTATTTCAGACAGAATGGCCACTAAAACAAAATGAACAAACAAACAAAAAATGAATAACCACCCGTGCTGGTGTGGATATAGACACAATGGCACCCTTGAGCATGGCTGGTGGGAGGCAAACTGGTTTAGCTACTATGGAAGCCTGTATGGAGGTTCCTCAAAAAAACTGAAGAGAAGTCTGTAATCAATCCAGATATACTACTTCTGGATGCTTATTTGAAGGACTCTAGATCAACACATCACAGTGTATACTTCAGCACTCTGTGAAATAGAGAGTTAAGGGACCAACCTATGTGTCCAGTGACAGGAATGGAAAAAGAAAGTGTGGTGTACCTCCTGCACTAGTTTTGTTATAAAATATACCAGGCCACTTGTAGTAATGTGTCCTAGTTTGCCTTCTGTTGCTGTGATAAATAAACACCATGACCAAAAAGCAACTTGGATCACAGTTGAGAGAAGTCAGGCAGAAAAGCAAGAAGAAGAGGCAGGAATCATAGAGGAGCGCTGCTTACTGACTGGCTCTCCATGGCTTGCTCATCTTGCTTTTGTATACCATCCAGGAAAAATTGCCTAGGGGTGGGACCACTCGCAGTGGGCTGGGTTCTCTCGAATCAATCACCAATGGAGAAAATGCTCCTACAGAGTTGCCCACAGACCAGTCTGATAGAGGGAATTCCTCACTTGAGATTCCCTCCTCCCAGAGTTATTCTAGTTTATGTCAGCTTGACAAAAAGCACATGGGGATTGACAATGGAGAGGTCTTTCTTTGCTTTCATGAAGTCTTTCCAACCATCCTGGGAAGACCAGGACATACTGTTAGCAAGGTGGCTCTGTCCCTCAGTGTGGCACAGGGAGGGTGGTGCTAAAGGACATACAGGGTCTGAGCTTGTTGAAGAGAATTTTGTGAAAGGCTTAAGGCAAAGGATACTTTGGCCTGGATCTGGGGCTACACAGAAGTTAGAGGTAATTCTGCAGATGGCTGCTGTCATCAGTCTTGTCTGGAAGGACGAAGGTCTTGGGGAAGACTGGAAATGTGTAGCTGCCACTTTTCTTGCCAGAATAGGGGCTGTGGGCTGTCCTTGGGGTTTAGACAATACTTATGTTTGACATAGTTGGCATGGAGTTTTCACCTTCATCACAGTCAGACTCTGTCTGATGCTCAGGTCCTGGGGGGCTGTGCTTAGCAGGGGAGCCCAAGACTTTGGCCCAGGCCAGTTCCCCAATTTCCTATTTCTCAGTGAATGGCCTCATTTCATAATTAGCTCAACACTTCATTTTGTAATATTGCACTGTAAAAGCCTGGAATTGAGGCAAAAACCAGGCCAAAACTCACTGAGGGGCAATGCAGTTTAGTTAAAGGGTATCTGAGAGGCATCTGGAATTTCAACTCATCCTTCCCAAGATATTTTGATTGATTTTATACAAGTTGACTTTCTTTAATTAAAAATGCTTGGGACTAGGATTGCTTCAGATTTTGGATTTATTTCTAGTTTGGAATATTTGCATATTTGTAATGAGCTAACATGGGCATGGGACCTAAACCTAGACACAAAATTACTTCTGTTTCTTATAAATCTAATCCAACAGTCTTCAGGTAATTTTGTTAAATTAAAAACAAAACAAAAAACAAAACAACACAGAGCCAGGCGTTGGTGGCACATGCCTTTAATCCCAGCACTCAGCAGGCAGAGGCAGGTGGATCTCTGTGAGTTTGAGACCAGCCAGGGTTCTGGAGAGAGGGACAGGCTAGGCTCCAAAGCTACACAGAGTAACCCTGTCTCAAAAAACAAAACAAAACAAAAAACCAAAACAAAACAAGCAAGCAAGCAAACAAACAAACAAAAAAACAGCACGAAGTAAAACTTTACAGTACAGAGACAAACAAACAAACAAACAAACAAAAAAACAGCACGAAGTAAAACTTTACAGTACAGAGTTTTCCACTAGTTAAAAACCAAGTTCTGGAGAAAAGAGAAAATAATAGTAAAAAGAAAAAAATTATTGAATGCTATAGACTCATTAAAATACAGTTTAACAAGAATCAAGGAATACAAGAAAGCCAATATCTGGGGAGAGTTAACATGGCTCTGGGCAGGCATGCAGCCTCACATTGTGGTAACCCTTTCCCCATGGATGGAGGCAGAGCAGCAGTGAATGCCGGGAAGCCACAGAGGATTCATCTTTGTTGTGTACACTGTGGACAAGTGAGAAGAGTTGACCTCAGGTGTCTCTCTCTTTTCATATGACAAAATGTTGCCCTCAATGATTACAGTCTCTTTGGTGGTTTCTGCTCATGATTCATGATTCAGTTGCTATGGTAATATAGGATTAGTTTCTCAACACTCCCCATAGGTTTTAAATTAGTAGTAACCCAAGCCACAAGGCCAAAACCGAAATAAAGTTTTTGAATGACTTAAAATACTTGAAGAAGTAGTGATTACCTGCATTTAGAATGGCATTTTATTTTGTTAAAAAGTGTGTGTGTGTGTGTGTGTGTGTGTGTGTGTGTGTGTGTGTGTGTGTGTAGGTCAGAGGACAACTTTTGAGAGTGGTTGCTCTCCTTCTGTGGGATCTTGAACTCAGATCATCAGGTATGCTGGCAAGCATAACTTGGAAAACACAACTTTTAATGATTAAGTCTCAAAAGCCCAACACATGTGTTGGAATGTAACTTTAGTGTTGGGTTGCTTGGGGTGTGACAAGCACCAGCTCCAGAAGCTGAGGTAGTGAGAAAGTCAGAGCAGGACTGTACAGGAATTGAACTCTGCTTTTCCTTTTGTCTGTAGTGACTGAAAGTGATGCTGCTGATATCGTCTTCCTGATTGACAGCTCCGATGCCGTCAAGGCTGATGGCATTGCTCATATTCGAGACTTTATCAGCAGGATTGTTCGAAGACTCAATATCGGCCCCAGTAAAGTGAGGATTGGGGTTGTGCAGTTCAGCAATGATGTCTTCCCCGAGTTCTACCTGAAGACCCACAAGTCACAGTCGCTTGTGCTCGATGCCATACGGCGTCTGAGGTTCAAAGGAGGGTCTCCCTTGAACACTGGCAAAGCCCTGGAGTTTGTGGCAAGAAACCTCTTTGTGAAGTCTGCTGGGAGCCGGATAGAAGATGGGGTGCCTCAACACCTGGTCTTATTCCTGGGTGGGAAGTCCCAGGATGACGTGTCTAGGCATGCCCAAATCATAAGCTCGTCAGGGATCATGAGTTTAGGGATAGGAGACCGAAACATTGATAGGGCAGACTTGCAAACCATCACCAATGACCCAAAAATGGTCTTCACGGTTCGGGAATTCAGAGAGCTGCCCAACATAGAAGAGAGGGTCATGTTTTCATTTGGAACATCTGGGGCCACTCCTCGGCCTCCCAGCGTAGAAATAGTTCCTCCTTCACGGCCAGGTACGAGCTGTTTGATGCTTGGTTGCAGACTGTGGTGTCAGCTGTTTTAAATGAAATGATAACTAGCTTTCTTTGCAATGATTTTCTCAGGGTTGTATCTACAGATGTATTAGAAATTAAATATTGGGGAAATAATTCATTTGAAATTGGAGAGGGAAACATGTCCCCAAAAGCAAATGGTCATCAATCCTCTGTCTTTCCTGAGATTAACCGTAGGGCTGCTGGAGTCAGCCAGTGCTCCACTGCACACGGCTTTGGAGTCAGGTCATCTCTCATGGTGGGTTACCTATTGTGGTCTAGGTACACTTCCTTCCTTGGAATGGTATGGTCACCAGGACTTGCCTACTTACAGCAGTCTCTCCATGTTCCGTTCCAAGTTCTCACCTGTACGACTCTAATCCAACCCCTGCAGACCCCTTGCCTTGCTCCTCTTATGGGTGATAGTCTTTCAGACACTCACTGCACTCAAACAGGGGTGGCTTTTCTGAGGGAGCCACAGTCCCCGTTTCTTCTTCGATTGTCTCCTTCTGAGCTGGGTGGGCACATCCTGCGATCCTCACACTGACTCCAATATCCTGTTTTGGTCTATTCTGGATTAGTTGGCTAAAACCAGGAAGTGGCCCCTCCTGCTACTATCCTTCTGAAGTCTAGAGGGTCTCCTTCCTATGTTCTAGCAGGCTTCCCCCAGCCATTCGTTGCTCTGCCCCCAAATCATCTCTCCTCATTCCCGCCAGAGGACAGAAGAATCAGTGGCACTCCTGGAAACACCTGGGCTTGCAGGTCCCTATTAAACTCTCAGCATAAGTCCATGTAGTCAGGTGACCAGGTCTGGTTTCATGAGTTCCTATGCCTCCTTTCCCTTTCATTTAGGTGGCTTGCCGTTTATCTTCCAGTTTTTAGAGTACTGGCTGCAGGATGGAGCTGCTGGGGCATGGGATAGAGTGAAAATTCTCCTAACAAATTAAGTAGTGGAAATGTTGGTTATTTTGATTTGTATTGCGTGCTCATACTCTGAGTTTAGAGACCTGAACTCCCCTTATCTTCCTTGTACTCGCTTATAGAGAAGAAAAAGGCAGACATCGTGTTCCTGCTGGATGGTTCCATCAATTTTAGGAGGGAGAGCTTCCAGGAAGTGCTCCGTTTTGCATCTGAAATTGTGGACACTGTCTATGAAGAGGGCGATTCCATCAGAGTGGGTCTGGTCCAGTACAACTCAGACCCCACGGATGAATTCTTCCTGAAGGACTATTCCACTAAAAGGCAGATCATTGATGCCATCAACAAAGTGGTCTACAAGGGAGGGAGGCATGCCAACACCAAGGTGGGCATCCAGCACCTGCGGCTCAATCACTTTGTGCCTGGCGCAGGCAGCCGCCTGGATGAGCGAGTCCCTCAGATCGCCTTCGTGATCACGGGAGGGAAGTCAGTGGAGGATGCTCAGGATGCCAGCCTGGCCCTCACCCAGAAAGGTGTCAAGGTGTTTGCTATTGGCGTGAGAAACATCGACTCTGAGGAGGTGGGGAAGATAGCTTCCAACAGTGCCACAGCCTTCCGGGTGGGCAGCGTGCAGGAGCTATCCGAACTCAGTGAGACGGTTCTGGAGACTTTGCACGACGCCATGCATGAAACTCTCTGTCCTGGAGTGACGGATGTTTCCAAAGGTAATAAACAGGTGTATAACTTCACCCTTCCTGCTGACACTGAGTGTCCCTGGTACTGTTCTGTGGGTTCTCAGGCTCATGGTTGCTTTAGACATTTACTTAGGACCCTGTGCTTACCTACCCACTGTTCTAGAAGGTTCTCCCAGGATAAGAGTCAAAGTCTCATCAATTTCACTTTTTCTCCCACTATTTAATTTCCTAGATAGTTTAGGCTCACTTATCTTTAAAAACACGTTTTTTTTGTTTTTGTTTTTGTTTTTCTCCGACATAGCTTGCTTTGGAACCTAGATTGACCCGGAACTCACAAAACTCCCAGGTGGACTGGTGCTAGGGTTATAGTTGTGCCTCTGATTTGCAGTTATATGTTTATTGGATCAGCTGCCTGTGTTGGGGCATTTGTATTCTATGATACTTTCCATTTAAAACACAAATTTGAGACATACTTAAATACCAAATGTACATTATTGTGTCCAAATAACTAACACTTCCCCAAAGAGCAAACATATATCCAAGTGGCCACAACTTTGGTTACTGACAGTGACCACAGAGGTGCAGAGGGAGTCAGAACTAGTTGCCTCTCTGAGCTCACACGTGGAAGATCTCATTTTGTTCCCTATCTGCATCTCTCCTTCCCAGCCTGTAATCTGGAAGTCATCCTGGGGTTTGATGGATCTAGAGATCAGAATGTATTTGTGAGTCAGAAGGGCCTTGAGTCCAAGGTAGACACCATCTTAAATCGAATCAGCCAGATGCAAAGGATCAGCTGCAGTGGCAACCAGCTGCCCACCGTGCGGGTGTCGGTGGTGGCCAACACACCCTCCGGGCCAGTGGAGGCCTTTGACTTTGCTGAGTATCAGCCAGAGCTGTTTGAGAAGTTTCGAAACATGCGCAGCCAGCACCCATACATCCTCACAGCTGACACGCTGAAGCTGTACCAGAACAAGTTCAGGCAGTCCTCCTCGCCTGACAGCGTGAAGGTGAGCAGCCCAGGGCTAGGAGCTCCGTGTGCAGCACTGAAAGCTCCTCACACTTCTGGAAACCAGTCCTGAGTGATTGATGTGTATCACTATGGGTGAGACAGGGTTGTTAGTGTATGGGAGGAGAGTTACTCTCTTATAGACTGACCATAATTCCCCATGTCTTCTTCCACTTTTAGATCCTGTTAAGCTCATAATGTCCTAGAAATTAGTAGCTCAGCTGAGAAGATTTGGATTTGTGATGGATTCATTTTTAGTTATAGCCCTGTTAGATAAGATATGCTGTCTGTTTGTATTCTCTCTCCATACACACATCTCTCTCACACACACAAACATATACATCACACCACATACAGATCCCCACACCACAATACACATAGCACACATACTCACCACATTGCACATACACATAACACACACACATACACACACCATACCTCACATAACACACCAAACACACATAACACAATCACACACATATACACACTACACAATACACATAACACACTCACCACACTACACACACACACACACCACTGCACATATACCCAACACACACATATATACCACTACACATACACACAATACACACAGAGAGACACACACAGACACATATATTATGTGTACTTATGTTGTATTTGCTTGCTAAGGCTGCCAAACAAAATACCACAGGCATAGTGCCTTAAACCACAAGAATTTCTTTCTCACAGTGTTGGAGGCTGGAAGGCCTGAGCTAAGACCAGGGCAGGGCTGCCCTGCTCTGAGCCCTCTCAGCTTGACTTGTAAGTGGCAGCCTCTCCTTGGGTCCTCACAGGCTCATCCCTCTGGCTGTTTGTGGCTCAATCATCTCCTGCTAGGAGGTCACCAGTCAGACCTGATTAGGGTCTTACTCAACTTAGTTCTGCCTGCAAGTACAGTCACATTCTAAGGTACTGGAAATCAGAGCCACCCAGCTGTCTTACTCAGCTTAGTTCTGCCTGCAAGTACAGTCACATTCTAAGGTACTGGAAATCAGAATTTCAACACAGTTCATTCCAGCACACACACACACACACACACACACACACACACACACACACACACACACTCTATTTCTAGGAACTATCTCGTAGGTATGAGAATGAGATAAACTTTCATTGTCATTGTTAATAGTTTTTAAAGACAAATCAGAATGGATGCACATTCCTTTATGTTACACACTGACAGCACACAGCCATTAACCTTGGCCTACAGTCTCCTCAACTGAGATTAGGGATTCGAACTCACTTCAGTTCTCTTCCGACTGTCTGTGATGCTCCCTGGAAGTAGGGTGAACTCCTTTGTTGCTTACAGGTAGTCATTCACTTCACGGATGGAGCAGACGGAGACCTGGCTGACTTACACAGAGCATCAGAGGAACTCCGGCAAGAAGGTAAGTGCCAGGCTTCCTGAGTGTGAGAAGTGAGCCCCTCCCCACTGCCCAAGGCAGACCTGCCACTTTGCTGAGAGAAAGCTGTCAACAGAGTCCTGGGGGTGTGGGCTTTCAGAGGCTCTCGTCATGGCATCTTGGCCCTTCATTCTCTGCTTTTAGGCTATAACATAAGGGAACTGAAGTTATTTTTGAGCAAGGGACACTTTAGTGCTAGGTCTTGGTGTGAATGTGGTGCTTGTATTCACCTTCCCAAAATAAACAAATGTAAATTGAACAACAACAACAAACTCCCCCAAATGGGATAACAGAGCAAAACCAGAGTCAGGAGAAAATGACATCTGGCTCCCTAACACCTAAGCCAGGTGTTCTAAATGGTTCTTTTCTCGCAGGTGTCCGAGCTCTGATCTTGGTGGGCCTTGAACGTGTGGCCAACCTGGAGCGGCTGACGCAGCAGTTGGAGTTTGGGCGGGGCTTCATGTATGACAGGCCTCTGAGACTCAACTTGCTTGACTTGGATTATGAACTAGCAGAGCAGCTTGTGAGTCTTTGTTTCTTTTAAACAGTTTTACACACAGACTAATTTAGACTTTTGGCATCTCAAGACAGTAAAGAGGGATGTCTTGATGGCCTGGTGACTGGGGGAAGGGTACATGCCAGTGCCATTTGATTCACTCGAGACCTGTTTTATTGCCGTATCTACATGATGGAATCAAGAATACACAGGGAAGGAGAGATGGAGACCACTTCCAAGTGGGAAAGTCCTCTTCTTGCCTCCCCTTCTGGGCTCCTCTCTCAGTGAGAACAGGTGCCTCTTGGGATGGGGAGTGGTGGTGGTGGGGGAAGGGTCTCAGATAGTGACTAATGCTGTAAGAGTGGGAGGGACCAGCTCTGTCCCATAGGGTCATGATTCTCAGATAGTGACTAATGCTGTAAGAGTGGGAGGGACCAGCTCTGTCCCTTCTTCCCCTCCACTTCTTTCTGTCATAAAAAAGTTAGGTTGTTTTTATTGAGTGGAAGCAGTTCAGCCTAGAACAGGGCAGAAAGAAAGCTGTGGGGAGCTCATTGCAAGAGCAAGCAAGATCAGCACTAGTTCAGTGATGGAAATATAAACACATTGGGATGCGTAAGGTCACGGGCTGGGTGGAAAGGGGTGCAGGGTGGCTGGTGGCTTTAGAGACACTGGTGACCCACACTGCGGTGGTTGTGGCTCAGAGCCCAAGTTCCCACATGCTGCCACCCATGGCTGCTCAGGGACTCCTCCAGGCAAGTAAGTACTGATTTCCATGAGTCTGACCTT